GACATGTGACACCCCCCCCCCCCTCCCCTTCTCTGCCCAGCATAGAATCCAGGATTCCCCACTGTGGTGGCAGGCACGGCGAGTAGTATACAGAGCAAGGGTAGAGTAATAAAGGAAAGGTCTTTGTAGAAATCGTTCGATGAAAATAACACGGTGACCTTTTTTAACAGGTAGTGTTCAAAATATTAGAGACGGAGAGAAAGAGAGAAATGTTCGTGTGTTCAGTATTTATCTATTTGTGTATCGTTCTTTCCGCCTTTCTATCTATCTTTATTCTAATTTAATTTGTCTGTAATTTGTTTATGTGTTTATTCTTTCAATTATTTATCCACTTACGTGTAAATGTATTCATTTTATCATGTATTCATATATAATTATATTGATAATATTGAATATCTAGGAGCGCTAAAAAGTACCATAGCGCTTACAAATACAAATATATGAAAAGAGGACAAAAAATATACAGTCTCACGGGAAGGATATCAAATAGATCACCGTGGAAAAGGGTAAGTTTTGAGGAATCTTTGAAGGTGGCAAGACAGGTAATTCCCCTCATGGAAAGAGTGATGCCGTTCCAAGTCTTTGATGCAGCTACTGCATGTGATCTTAACGAAAAATAAAGATATCAAATTCAATAACTCATGCATTTCTTTATTCACACTCTGATACTATTTACTACATTATCAAACTATGCTAAAAGTGTTCTTACTAACAATCGTCAATTTTTTTGTCTTCTCTTCCCTTTTTGCCCTATTTTCTTTGTCTTTTGTCCTTAATTGCTCTCCTCTTTCAATTGTCTTTATTCATTTCTGTTACACGTAGGTGTTCTAATTACTCTTCATCTATGTTTTTTAAAAAAGAACTGAAGCAAAAAAAAAGATTTCAATCACTGTTCAAGTATTTGCGTAAAGAAAAATACAATGAGTGGTATCTCTCATCTATCTTTCTTCCTTTTTGCCCCTATTTAATTTTTATTTTGTCCTTGCTTGCTCTCCTCTTTCAATTGTCTTTATTCATTTATGTTACAAGTAGGTATTCTAATTACTCTTCATCTATGTTTTAAAAAAAAATTAAAAAAGATTTCAAGCACTGTTCAAGTATTTGCGTAAAGAAAAATGCGATAAGTAGTATCTCTCTTCTCTCTTTCTTCTCTCTTTACCCCTATATTTTGCTCCTTTCTTGCTCTCTTTTTTCTAATGTCTTTAGTCCTTTCTGTTACACGTAGGTATTCTAATTACTCTTCATCTATGTTTTTTTTAAAGAACAAAAAAAAAGAAAAGATTTCAAGCACTGTTCAAGTATTTACGTAGAGAAAAATGCCACAAGCGGTATCTCTCTTCTACCTTTATTCCCTTTTTGCCCCTCATTTAATTTTTCTTTTGTCCTTAATTGCTCTCCTCTTTCAATTGTCTTTATTCATTTATGTTACAAGTAGGTATTCTCTTTACTCTTCATATATAGATTTGTTTAAAGAACAAACACAAACAAAGACAAAGATTTCAAGCACTATGTTCAAGTATTTACGTGAATGAAAAATACGATGAGTGGTACATTAATCAAGGCGATTGGTCTCGAGTACGACCTGCCGATTGTGAAGATGATTGAAAATCCATGATATTGAAGGATAATTACTGGTAACACACACGTCAAGGAGGGATTAACAAGAAGTGGGCATTATAATAGAATTTTAAAGAGTTTACAGAAGGGTTCAAATATAAAAGGATTAGGGAGGGACACGAGGAGATGGAGAGATAGAGAGCGAAAGGGAAAGAGAGAGGGAAGAAGACAGATAGACATATATAGAGATCGGAGAGGGGGAGTGAATACATAAATACATTGTATTTTCTGAAGATTGTCTTTTTGCAGGGTTACCCGGTTGAAATCAGTCTCGAAAATGAGTATTCCCCCCCCCCCCCGCCCCTCTCTCTTTCTCTCTCTCTCTATCTCTCTCTCTCTCTCTCTCTCTCTCTCTCTCTCTCTATCTCTCTCACTCACTTCCTCCCTCCTGCCTCACCATCTTTCTCATGAACAGGGTGTGAATTAACAAAAAAAAGTATCGACGTCTTTCCCAGTTTCTGAGTTTACATAATCACTTACATAAATCGATTATTATTTTGAAGGCTGGCATGTTTTCCAACCAATAAGTTTGACAAACACTTAACACTGATTGTTTTTCGCTATTTTCAAAGAACAGCTCTTCAGTTGACTGCAGAGGAGGCCGCACCCATACCTCAGGATAATTGTAACAATCTTACATAAGTTGTCTAGCAGATACGTTACCGAACTGTGGGTCACATGTGTAGTGGTTCGAGTCTCGGCAGTGTTCTTTAATTAATCCACTTTAAAGTGTGACTTTTTTTCTGACTCACATATCCTTCACTTTCTCCATATACAGTATGTTCCCTCTCTCTGTCCAATATCTCTCTTTGTCTTGGTATCCATAGCCCCCCATCCCCTTTTTTCTCCATTCACTCTCTATCTCTCTCTCGCTCTTTCTCTCCCTCTCCCCTCCTCTCTTTTTCTCTCGCTCCCTCTCCCCTTCTCTCTGTCCCCCCCCCCCTCTCCCCTTCTCTTCTCTCTCTGTCTTTCTCACTCCCCTTCTCTCTCTCTCTATCTCTCTCTCTCTCTCCCCTTCTCTCTCTCTCTCTCTCTCTCCCTCCCCCTCCCTCCCCTTCTCTCTTCCCCCTCTCTCTCTCCCCCTCATCTCTCTATCTCTCTTCATCTCTCTCTCTCATCTCACTCTCTCTCCATCTGCACCTTTCTCGTCCATCCCTTTTCAAATTCTTAACCCCTTTTGTCACATCTATCCTCGACTTGGTCCATTGCATTTATACACTATGGGATGGAATTACTCCATTCACTCTCTATCTCTCTCTCGCTCTTTCAAAACAGAGAGAGAAGGGGAGAGAGAGAGAGAGAGAGAGAAGGGGAGTGAGAAAGACAGAGAGAGAAGAGAAGGGGAGAGGGGGGACAGAGAGAAGGGGAGAGGGAGAGAAGAAGTAAAATAAAAAATTCTCCAAAATATTCAGCAACAAATCATAGAGCTTATGAACACCAAAATACATGTGCAATCCAACAAAAAAAAACTGAAGACTTCAGAAAATTCTGTCTTTCAAGTTTATTATTTTCTATTACAGTGTATTACAACAAAACCTTGAAATCTACAAAAACATTATTATGTTGAAACTTTTAATCGCCCATGATAAAACAGCATGCTAAAAACATGCTAGCATAACATCATGATAATAACTTCAAGGCAGATAGATCCAGGACTTAATTAGTACATTCAATATGTTTGCTTCATCATGACCCAAAACAATTGAGCACCAATGAACAAAAATTTTCATTTGCAGATAAAGGTGAGTTCTGGTTAAAAAAAAAGGGAAAAAAAGAAAATGAATTCTCTAAGAATCAAACAAAACTTACACTGAATGTTCAAGATTACAAATAAATGTCATTTGCCAAACAAATTTTGGTAGAAAATGTATACTGGCTGAGTAATGAGCATAGAAAGATAAGGAAATCAAGGTTAATAGCCCGACACTATTTGTGTAGTCCCATATACCTCTTTCTGTGTACATTGCTTGTTACTTTACCAAGACTGGGCCAATTTATTATGATTTTGATGACTCCAGAACTTTGCAGTACACACCAATACTTACATGCTACATGATCAACTTTTTCTGATCCATTCCACACCTTTTCTTTCACAATGCAATTGGATAACCAGAACTCACCTTTATCTTTAAGCACAAAATAATGAAGAAATAATGAAGAAATAATGAAGAAATTGAAAAGGGAGATTGCGAGGAGAAAAATGCCAGTTTCAAGACAGCTCTGGCCCATTAGAAATGTGAATAATTCTTCGACGGTTGTTTTCAGTGCGTTGGGTCAAAATCAAAGGCCTTGAGACAATATAAGTGTTCTTCACTCCCACATAATCTTCACTGATTTTACAATGCCTTCAAATGAACTACCATGAAAAGATGATGGCAAATTATGTAAGAGACTCCGTCAGTGTCATACATGTAACTTGGCAACAAATTCTCATTCTGCTATTTTGTATCTTCATACACATTTATTTCCCTTTTCTCTTTAAACTGAAAGGCCCACAGTACTGCTGGTAGGTACTTGCTCCTTCTACATAGAAATAATGCCTAATCAGTGACCATTGGTCCCCCATGATCCTCTTTTTCTTATGTTAATTGAGAGCTAAGTTGATGAGAAAGCCAACTGTCAGTGACCATCCTGTGTGGTCTAATTCCTCCTAGCCAAACTAGTACAGATAAGCTTTAAGGTGCGTGAACCATGAACAAAATGGATCCAGTGTGAAGAACCATTGATGCAATGCCAGTAAGATCTGCAACAGGAAGGTCTTCCAAGGTGTTACAAGTCTAGAGAACTATAGCAGGCTTGGTCAGTCTCTTGATAACTTCTCGCCAAGTTTCTTGCTCTACTATTTTGCTCATTTTGTATTTTGTGTCCTCAGGAAGAGTCCCCTGTGCGAAAATCATTGATGAGCTCCTTGGAACCATAGCAGGCTTGGTCAGTGACAGTCTATTGATAACTTGACCCCAAGTTTCTTGCTCTACTATTTCGCTCATTTCTTGTGTCTTGCGTCCTCAGAAAGAGTCCTCTGTGATCAAATCATTGATGAGCTCCTGGGACTCCTGTGGCTATATCTTCAAGGTTTCTTAGATAGGCAACTACAGTATCAGGCTCGGCAGGTGTCATTAGAACTCGGCCCTAAGTTTCTCGCTCCTTGTTCAGCACATTTCTTTTCTTTTCTATTCCAAAGTCCAAATAAGCACATCCAAAGTAACATCCAAAAGATTCTCATGTGATCACAAAGTCTTAGTGAAGGAACAACGGAACTCCTGTAAGAAAATATCTTCAAAAAGTCTTGGATTCTAGGGTCTCAAGCTGTTGTAGCAGGCTTGGCTGGTGTCATAATAACTCGGCCCCAAGTTTCATGCTCCTTCGTGTGGTACATTTCTTTTCTATTCCAAAGTCCCAATAAGCATCTAGTATCATCCAGAACATTCTCAGTGAAGGATGCTCAAAGGAACTCCTGTGAGAATATCTTCAAAGTGTCTAGGATTCTGTGATCTCAAGCTGTTATAGCAGACTTTGTTGGTGTCACAATAACTCGGCCTCGAGTTTCTCGCTCCTTCGTGTGGTACATTTCTTTTCTATTCCAAAGTCCCAATAACCACCTAGTAACATCCAGAACATTCTCAGTGAAGGATGCTCAAAGGAACTCCTGTGAGAATATCTTCAAAGTGTCTGGATTCTGTGATCTCAAGCTGTTATAGCAGACTTGACTGGTGTCATGATAACTTGGCGCCTAGTTTCTTGCTTTGCCAGTTTGCGTATTTCTTGTACGCAGTTTGAAGGAGCTCTTCCATATGGTTTACCAGCTGTACAAAAAAAATGGAAGAAGAAAAAACATTTTAGAAGACTGTTGCTACACTTTATTTGTTCTAGAAAGGACAGTTGTCCTTTGGGTTAGTTACGATATGTGTTATGGAGAAGAGGAGGGGTAATTGATAGGTGGTCGTTATTGGTGGTTCTTGTCGATTATTGTTGGCGTCGCAGGGTGTACCCAGACGTTTTTGCATCAAACAGGTTGTGTTATCAGACAGTTTATTTAAATCAGTGATTTGACGAAGTTCACATGCAATATTTTATATATCTTATAAGGCTTATGTTAGACAGTTATTATAAAATACAAACATTTATGATGGTTGGTGATATAAGATGCATAGTTTTTCATTAAATACTAAGGCAAAATTGATTGGTTTATTTTTGTGAAGAGTTCGGAGGCACAACCCTCCATCGCCCTAGTGAGGTAAAGCATCCCTCAGGTGAGTATCTTATTCACAAAACCATGTAAGGGGCAATAGAACCCTCTAATTTCTTGAAACTCTGTTATTTTGATTAACTATGAACCCTAACTGTATCCCAGTTTCTCTTGAAATGCAGCTCCAATTACAGGATTTAAAGACACATAGGAGCGAGATCTCATGGGGAATTTGAGACCGTTCGGGCATTCACCCATTAATAGGTGTGTCAATCACCAGGATTAGCCTTATAGTTTTATGACCAACAGGCTTTTTGTCATGCCTTGTTTTGCTTTTCTCTCAACCAAAGACTCTCTGAGAAACAAGGGGGCATTTCTTGATAGGACTCCTGGGGGATATTTCACAAAGATCCTAAGTCGAACTTAACTCTAAGTTGGACTTAAAAATTATGGAAAGCTGTTAGCATCCTTGAAAACATTTTGTAAAAGTCATTTTAAAAGGCATTAATTGTTGATTCAAATCATTCATATTTTCTATTATCATTGGTGATTTCATGTTCTTGTTGTTGAATTTATGAAAAGTCTAAAATACTTGAATTTTTTGCTTTTGAATGTATTTCATTATAAGGCTACAAATGGCTCTCCATAATATTTAAGTCCAACTTAGAGTTAAGTTTGACTCAGGATATTTGTGAAACACCCCCTGGTTTGGTGTGTGCAGACTTGTACACTCATCATCATCACCCATTAATGTTATTTCCACCAAGTCTGGTGTCAGCGATTTATGGCCTTCTGCACGACCCACTCCCTTCCAAATTAGCTTTCATAATACTCACATTGAGTCCTATATGTTGTTTGGCGAGTGTATCCTTGAAAGGCTTAATCTTCTTGGCATGAAACTGTTCCAGAGTGCCCTTCATCCTGAAGACCTTCTCCTCCAGTGAGCGATTGGTGACGGGGAAACACGACCAGAAATGCCTCAGGAGCTCTGCCAATGCTGAATACAGCCTCTTTACTTCTTTCTGGGTTTCAGGGCTGTACATAGCTAAAGAGAAAGACAAGGGGGGTGTTTCACAAAGATCCTAAGTTGAACTTAACTCTAAGTTGGACTTAAACGTTACGGAGAGCCATTTGTAGCCTTGAAATGAAATATATTCATAAGCGAAAATTCAATTTTTTTTTATTTATTTTTTTAAATTCCACATCAAGAACATGAAATCTCCTTGATAATATAAAATATGAATGATTTGTATCAACATTTTATGCCTTCTAAAATAACTTTTTTTAAATATTTTCATAGATGCTAAAGACTTTCCATTATTGTTAAGTCCAACTTAAAGTTAATTTCCACTTAAGATCTTTGTGAAACACCCCCCAGGAGAGACAACTATTAGATAGCAGGGAATAATTTACCTGGTATCGCATCGCAATTTGCTATGCATTTTTGCATGACTGCTATACAAAATATCTTTTGTGTAGCAGTTTTCTTCCATAGAAATGTACAGAATTTCATTTGAAATATTTATCCATCGGCTGAAATTGCTAATCAAAAAATTTGAGGAAAATTATTTCCTGGATAGATACAGATAAAGCAAAATCAAATTACATAAGTCAGGGATGTCAGCTGGTTTTGATTCTTTAGCTGAAAAAGCGGAAACCAAGATATGCTGGAGGCCACCTTGATACCATATTAGAGAAGACACGATGGCTCAGTGGTAGAGCACTACCGGGAGGTCCTGGATTCGATAACAGGTTGATGTGCTAATGCAAATTGGTAAAGAGTCAATCCTCATTACCAAGTCCCTCTGAGAGGACTTCAAACCGTTGGCCTATTGGCTGCTTACATATGCTTTCTTAGCATTCAGGTAAAACAAATCAACAAATCATTGTGGTCAAGTGGATATGTCACCGGACTGATGATCAAAAGGTCAGCGGTTCGAGTCCCACCAAGGCACTAACATCTTTTGGCATGACATTAATCTACATTTGCCACACTCGACCCAGGTGAGGTAAATGTGCCTGGTAGGACAATTCGTTAAAATGCACTGTGTGCTGATAATGGCTAGAGGAGGGATGTTATAACAATGTGATATGCGCTATACAAGAACTGAATATTATTATTCCTAATAATTTCTAGATAATAAAATAAATGGCTTGGTTCCTTTCATCAAATGCCAACTAAGGTCACAATGAACATTTAATCCTGAATATGAGAACTTACTATGAACAGGCTGAGTTGATAAGGATGCCATAAGGGCACCTCCTGGTGTTAGTTCTCCCATTACTGACCTCGCTGTGTTACTGGATATAACCTACAAAAGAAGGAAAACAAAAACAAAAACAAATACGAGAATTATAATAAAGTTAAAGGACCAAGTAACACATTATTCAAACCATTTCCATAGTGAGAAAATGAGTGACAAGGTATAAGAATGTATTCTCCAATAGTGATTTCCAAAGTGCATTTAAAGAGACATTGTTTAGAAACACATATTTGAAAAGCTCCAAATGTCAGTCTATCTGTCTCTGTGTCTGATTGTTTGTTTGTTTATGCATTTGTTTTTTCGTTTGATTGTTTGTCTTACCTTGTGTAGATTAGGTGCAGAAAACATGATTTCAGACTGGACAGATCTCAAGGCACCTTTAACTTCTTCTGATGAGAAATAATGTTTGTTTGTTTGTTTCGGCTCGGGTAGCTTGGGCAGAGAAGACATGACTTCCTCTGTCTGTCTGTCTGTCTGTTTGTTTTGTTTGTTTGTCTTACCTTGTGTAGATTAGGCACAGATGACATGACTTCAGATTGAACGGCTCTCAACGCACCCATCACCACCTCTGATGAGAAGTAGTCTGTAGACTGGACAACGGTGGGACCATGGTAATACCTGATAGAAAGATGGCAAGAATATCGTAATTTCACTCCTCTACGTAGTTTACTTAAAGCCCCACTGCACTACTTATAGCAACTTGCGCCCTCTTTATAGCAAACAATGCCTACTAGGTGCCTGTTCGTCCCCAATGATCCCCTCTTTTAAATATTAATTGATAGCGGATTTGATGAGATAACCACCTGTCAGTAAATTTACAGGGAGGTCTAATCCCCCCTGGCCAAACTAGTACAGACGCGCCTAAAAGTTGATGAGGAAATATTTCTCTTCTTCTGACAGAGGACATGGGCAATTTCAATATAACTTCTATACTTTTCTTCTACTGAAATAAAGATGACTTATACTAAAGGCATCGTTTAACAATGTTATATCTGAAATGCATGGCCCTACGTGTTATCAGTGTTTTTGAAATAGTGTAAATGTATTGAAGACCTTAAAAAATTACGCTTCAAAATGATCATGAAGTGCCTCACAAAAGTAAAAATCTTTGAGTGACTGGTTTTACCATACTCTGTAGTGATATAAAAACCGTTAGGAGAACGAAAAATGCAATTTCGATTTCCAATTATAAATATCTTGATAATCAGACAGGCAATGTTACCAAGTCACTTTAAGTGTTCTATATATCAATATTCCATGGTATTAACAAATATACAGTGCACTACTTCACTTCATACCTGTCTGTTCTTTGCAGCTTCAAGGAGACACCATCTTGTTTGGACGATGACGATAAATCCTCAATCTCGATGGCCTCTCGTAATCTGGCTTTCTTTGCACTGCTCTCGTCTCCGTCTCCTCCTCCTCCGTCTGTCCGGTGGTTTGTGTTGGAGTTCTGGCTCAAAGATTGGGAGCTGGTTGATGGTGCATCAGTGTCGTCTGCAAGGTTTCTCTTACTGTGACAATATAATTTAAAGAGCATGATCAGAGACATGAGAAGGTGCAATGGCTCAGTGGTAGAGAGCAGTGGTCTCGTAACCACAAGATCCCAAGTTAAAAACCAAGTCAATGCCATTTGGTAAGGCATAAATCCTCAAAACCAAGCCCCTCTGAGAGGCCTTAAAACCATAGGTCCCCTAGTTGTTTACCTATACATGCTCTTCAAGCACTCAGGTAAAACAATCACCAATCATCGTCAAAATCTTCTGAATATTGTCCATTGTGAGGCAAAATTAACACCAAATCGTGGATTCACACTTTTTTGTGAATCAATTGATTGATTGATTGATTGGTTGATTTATTTATTTATTTATTCCCCAAAGAATGTGATTCATTCTAACTCCTAAAGCGAAGACTTACTTTGATTCTGAAGCAGCTAATACCCGTGTGTTGTGATGGTTGAACCGTTTGATGATGGACTTATTGACTGCGTTAGGTTTCATCATGTTATCCAAGGAAAATCCAAACTCCTGAGAAGAGATAATGTAAGCTTGTTTAATTTTTTTTATATCCGTATAAAAAGACAACATACATTCAGTAAAACAAAAGCAAATAAAAAAATAAATTACAAGATAAAATAAAGTGTTGGATAGCCCGTATTCAGCAGAATCGTTATGATGCCGCTGGTCTTCCATGGGGACCAGAAATAGTACAGTAAACTCCTGATAAGAGATAATGCAAGAAGTACAGAAGGAACTCAAAAATGTGAAAATACAATCATACTTGCCAACCTTTCACATCAACAATTAGGAATCTCTCAAGGCAAAATAAGGAATACAGTCTTATTTTGTATGCTTTTCATACCGAATATTTTTTTTAGTGAAAGGAATCTAGGGTTCAAAACAGTAGCTTGAAAGCTCCCCCCTCCCCCCCCCCCCCCCCCAAAAAAAAATAGGAATCATTCCTTCAAAATAGGCATAGTTTGCAGCTATGTACAATGTGTACTGCATAATGAAATACTGGTTGTAACTAGACATTACTAATGGACGATTGACTTAAAATGCAACTGTCATGGGTTCGAGCCCCGACACGGCACTAATGTCCTTTGGCAAGGCATTAATCTACATTTGCCACTCCATAGGAGAGTAATGGGGACCTGGTACAATGACAGGAGCCTTTGTGTTAGTAATTGCCATGTGCCTTCATGGTGACAACATGGTGGGAATACTCCCCAAGGAGTGGAGATGGTGCACATTGTGCATGAATGAATCCGATGACCTTGGTAAAAATATCTGTAAAGTACTTAGAGAACGTATTTTTTGTATTAAAGCCCATCTGTACTAGTTTGGTTAGGAGGGATTATACCACCCTGGGGGTCACTGACAGGTGGTTATCTCATCAACTCAGCTCTCAATTAACATAAGAAAAAGAGGATCATGGGGGATCAATGGTTACCAATTAGGCATTGTTTTCTATATAGAGGGAGCAAGTAGCTACAAGTAGTACAGTGGGCTTTTAAGCGCCAGATTAATAGTAATAATAATAATAATAAAGTCATTTTTTATATTGCGCATAATAATATAGTATTAATGACTGCTTTGAGAGAAATAGTTGTTTTATTACGCTCAAGGGAAGGTTAGAATTGTGCTATTCCCCGAGGCTTGCCGAGGGGAATAGCCCAATTGTAACCTTCCCGAGAGCGTATGAAAACAACTATTTCTCGAATATTAAAGCAGTCATTAATACTTTTATATGCCGAAAAAAAATAGACTAAAAAATGAAAAATTAAAAATATTTATCAATTTTGTCGAAGACGGGATTCGAACTCTTGCGTACAACAAGAGGTGTACCGAAAACCAACGCTTAGACCACTCGGCTATGGCCCGCCGTTAACATGCTTGGCAGTTTTCTCCAATATATACATTAAAATGGATTGAAACCGGCTTCGCGTGTGATGAATGCTTCGCAAAAGCTCCATATACGGACTCTTCTTTTACTTTTGCAATGCATATTGGCACGAACTTAGATCAAGATCTATCGGCAGATGTTGTTTTTTTGTTTTTGGAAGTTTATTTTCGTCTTCATGTCAACAATGCAAGATAAAATTGTCGGTAAGATCGATCGAGATTCAATTGTATTGAAATTACCGACCAATCCTTCGCACACATACGGCATCCTCCATCGCTCAAACCATTTTTTAACATGTAAACCTATGGGGTAACCATGGAGGCTGACCAACTTTTTTTAATAACCATGGTTATTAAAAATATTGAAATGTTTTATGCATGGTTACCGAGAATTTTACAGGAACAGTTGAAGTTTATGAATGCAATTCGACCAATCAGATGGCTGGATTTCTTAAGTGAGGTATATAACAAATTCTATATGAGCTTTACAGCAATCAATTATATAATAAATTACATGATTAATCTAAAGATTATTGATTATTGTTCTCATTCAACCCAGAACGTTGTGAGTTGTCCTTATCAGATTTATAGGATGGTGTGTGCATCTTACCTCATTTATTGTGTTGTCAGACAGCCCCTGGATATCAAGGAGTGGGTCTTGGACAGTCTGGTTAGCTTCCTCTGTCATATCTGAGCAGGAAAAGAAAAAAAAATTACATCACTTGAAGAATATTAATTGTTTATATGTCATATTTGATCACCAAAAGAAAGAAAGAAAACGCGACATCACATGACAGGAAAATTACCATCAATGCATTCATCGAAATGTTCCTCTAATTTTTCTGCTTCTATTAAAACTAATTTAATTTAATATTAGGTTGGACTTCTCCTTTAAGACTTGAGAAAATCTTCTCAGAGGAAATATAACCTGGGGGGTGTTTCACAAAGATCCTAAGTTGGAAAGCCGTTAGCACCACCTATGAAAATATTTTGTAAAATTTATTCTAAAAGGCATTTAATGTTGATTTAAATCATTCATATTGTCTATTATCAAGGAGCTTTCATGTTCTTGATGTGGAATTCATAAAAAGTCTAAAATTATTGAATTTTTGCTTTTGAATATATTAATTTTAAGGCTACAAATGGCTCTCCATAATTTTTAAGTCCAACTTAGAGTTAAGTTTGGCTTAGGATCTTTGTAAAACACCCCCCAGGAGTAAAAAGCTAAAATAGTTCATTAATTACCTTTCTCGTCCTTCTTGGCACACTCAGCGAAGAGGTCTTTGCTTCCTGCATTGATTCGATCTCGGTGGAAATACTGGGACTGGAAGAAACACGTCCAGAATTCTTTCTCTGACATAGTATGTGGAACACTCTCAAGATGCTTCTTTCTCACTGGATAATAAAATAAAACGTAATGAGTCAAGGAGGAAAGGAAATGTATTCTTATGAATCCAATACGATCTGCCCTATTCTTCTAGCAACCCTCACAAGATGTTTTGATTTTCAATGTTCCAATTCAAATAGAAAATCATGAATGTAGATTATAAACCAATACTTGGAATTCCATAAGTTGACCTCTGTGACCTTTGATCTTTGATCTAGTTACTACAAAATCTAATCAGATTGTCTTCCTATGGTGATACATACAATATTTAAGTTTGGAGTTCATATCTCAAGTGGTTCTTGTGACATCACGTTAACAAGAAAGCAGGATGGACAGACAAACGGACAGACAACCTGAAAACATAATGTTTTCAGGTTGTCGGTCCATTCGGGCGGAGGCATAGAAACAGAAATACAAAATTTTCTGAAATTTGAAGTGATGTGAAAGACTTAATAAATCAATAGTGTTTTACCTATCAGACAACAAAAACAAATAGTAATGTTTTATAAGAGAAAGCATTTAAAAATTGGCAGTTATAGCAGCAATACAAATGAAGGCTCCTGGCAGGCACATTATTTTCAATTTCTTTTCATGATAGAAAATCTATTATTTGGGGGGAAATCCCCTTATTCTATTACCTGCCGGATAGATACGGAATATAGAATCAATGATGTCAGCTGTGAGGTTGTACTTGACTCCGTTGCAGCCGTCTGTTTGGGGTTTAATGTCAGAGAGGAAGGCCGCTGATACCCCGACCCCTTGACCCCCATCACTGGCTGATGTTGAGGCAGATGAAGCAGCAGCACTCTCTTGCTGGGACATCTAACAAAATACACAAACATTCAAATTATAATCAGGGCTGTATTGTATCAGCTATTTCCTACACTCGATCCAAAGAAGCCATGGGTCTAAGGTTTGATATGTATGAAAGAGTAAGAGTGCTGGGACACTGACCAGACAGTTATCATCTTTTTACTATCACAAAAGACAACATACTTTTCATAATACCAACACAAATTTACAAATGAATGTAGTTTTACAAACTCACATTAATGCGGCTGGCCCAGAATTCATCTGCAGTCATGACACCACTCATCACAAGGTCACGGTACAACTGAAACAGTTCCGGGTCATCCTTCAGCATCCTGTATACATCAAAGATATTACCAGTATTGACAACGATATTGAGCATATACCTAATTAGAATTGGACATGGTCTCAGTAAGAGTCATGTATGTTTCTGAGACTTTTTAATGATAAACTCAAGAGCACCTTCTAATCCATTTTGCAGATATCACAGAAACAGGTTTTTAAAGTTTTATTTTCTATTCTTGATTCTATCTGTCAAAGAAGGAAAGGTTTGTAGATACATGTAAACAAATCTTCATTTCAAAATGTGAATTCCTTTTACCGAACAGTCTGAAAAGAGGCACTGGCAAGAAAAACACTTGAAATGTGGAGATGTCGGGTCTAAAAATAATAATAACAATAGCTGGAAAAATGGCATCCCAGTCAATTTGTTTTTCTTCAAAGTTTTCTCTATTCCAGAAAGTAAGTAAGTCTTCAAGAGTTGCTGGGAAAAGATATTGATGTTAAGTGTAAAATCCCTATTTTATACTTCAGTATCAAAGCATCATGTGGAATAATCTATCAAATACCTTAAAATGTACCAAAAGTCTTCCAGATTTTAAACAAACATATTAAAATCATCTTTAAATTTATGTTAATTTGGCTTCTCCCTTCCTCTCCCATTCATTTCCCCAACCCTTTTTTATTTTGTTATTATAGTTGCTGTTGTTGTATTGCTAAGTTACTTAGTTCATGTTTTTGTTAAATTTGACTTTCAGGTGTATAATAAGGGATTGACCATAGACAGGCCTGTAGGCCTATTGTCGACCCCACCTTTATCTGTTTATGTTATATTTATGTTGTATTCTTGTTTGTCTTTTGATTGTTTTGTATTTTTATCAGATTATGGAAATAGACTTGAATTGAATTCAATCTCTTTGTTGCTTGAGAAAAACTCACTTATTCTTCTCCTCCAGTTCTCTGCTAGCTTGGCTCCTGAACTTGGGCAGGAGCTGCTGTAGGAGCTCCTTCACGTCATTACGGTCCTGCTTCTGGGCCGCAGACCCATCACGGTTTGCAAAGTGGAACTTGGTACTGGACCCGTTGTGGAGCAGGATCTGAAGCTGGACCTTGGAACTGGTGTCCTGACTGATTCTCTGTTCTGATGAAAGAATTTACATAAAATAAATAAATGACATCTGGAAAGACATTATTTCATGATGAATGAGTTATAAGAATGGAGGCATATGACTAAACAAATGTTATGTTTACATTAAAGGAAGTGTGTCATGACGAGACTATGTGTCTCTCCCGTGGCCCTACTCGGGGCCAATCGGGTATAACACGACTTCGGACGACACGACCACAGCATTCACGTGTGTGCAACATACGCGAAACCGAAGCGTGAATAGAACTTCGGTCTGTTTCGATAGCGCGCGCTGACCCAGTTAATCAAGTCCATTCGTTTACATGCAGTTGTCCAAAATAAGACGTCGATAATGTTAACCAGTATTTGCCATGATACACTCCCTTTAAATCGCAGATTGATCCTGCATTGTTTGCTCGGCATCTTCATGGTTTGTCTGGTTCTGTTGTCGATGGTGTAGGGGTGTTTTAGAAGTCACATTCCTTATAAATCTGTAAACTTGTTTGATTGTTAATGGTCTGAATAAATACAGTACAGTACAATACAATGCAGAATTGAGTTGAAGATTATTTTGAAGATTATAAAGTATAGTTTCTGTCTTGACGTGGTAATAAATATAAGAAATGTAATGACGCATACACAGGTTTGATTTAATGGGGTCTGCTCGCTATCTTTAAGGACCGCTTGCCATCTATACGGGCTGCTGTTCATTTTGTCACGCATAATGGATAGCGGTCCTTATGAATAATTAATGAATGGCGTTCCTTATGAATAGCGAGGTAAATTGTCTATGGTTTGCTTGCTATCTATACCGGCCGCTGTTCATTTTGTCACGCGTAATGGATAGCGGTCCTTATGAATAATGGTCCTTATGAATAGTGGTCCTTATGAATGGCATTCCTTATGAATAGCGAGGTAAGTTGCTTGCTATCTATACGGGCTGCTGTTCATTTTGTCACGCGTAATGTATAGCGATCCTTATGAATAATTTATGAATGGCGTTCCTTATGAATAGCGAGGTAAATTGTCTATGGTTTGCTTGCTATCTATACCGGCCGCTGTTCATTTTGTCACGCGTTATGGATAGCGGTCCTTATGAATAATGGTCCTTATGAATAGCGGTCCTTATGAATAGCAATCCTTGTTGATAGCGGTCCTTATGGATAATGGTCCTTATGAATAGCAGTCCTTATGAATAGCGGTCCTTGTTGATAGCGGTCCTTACGGATAATGGTCCTTACGAATAGCGGTCCTTATGAATAGCGGTCCTTGTTGATAGCGGTCCTTGTTGATAGCAAGCTTGAACCAATTTTATACTTACGCTTGACGTCTGCGTAGTAATGGCTGACTGTGAAGACCTCTTTATTGTCCTCCTGCCAGGCCAGACGCTTCCCCATGAGATACAGGCTACCATTGCTCTTCCTGCTGCGGACCTGAGCCACCACCAGCAACACTTCCTCTGATGACATGGCCATGGTTGAAAATAGTCAACAGCCTATAGGATACAGAACGCAAGTACAAATATTACCAAGATGGAACTGTCTACTAGTACTGGAGGGTGTTTCACAAAACTTGTAATCAGTGACAAATAACAGTTTTTGTTAATAAGCTACTGGAATCCTTGCTTCTGACTGGTTATCAGCAGATATGTCACTGATTTTTGTCATTTGTCGTTGAAAAAGGCTTTGTGAAACAGTACCCCGCTGGAGTGGGTAGAACATTTATACAAGTAAAGTTGGAGGTGAGCTTACATTATTAATTTCTTTGATGTGTGATGCTAATAATTTGATTGTAATTGTAGCACACTGGTATTCATAATCACATATTGGTATATCAGACTCTACAGTTTCTTGACTTTATTTCTACCATTGTTTTATCTGTTTGTAATTAAATCTAACCTCATTTTTTGGTTGCAATAAAGTGTTTAAATTAGATCTAATAATAAGAATCCCTACATCAAGGTATAGACCCTACTTGGGACACTAGCTGTCTCTCTTAGTATTGAGACTCAGTTTTGTCAAGATTTTTGGTTGTTGATTTTAGGAGACAGTCTAGTCTCCCAAAACAAATTTTCATTATTTACGTTGCCGCAAAGAAATTCTCGCCTCAAGTTACAACTTAAATATATGATGAGCAGATTCCCCATAAAAAGTTACCTTTTTTTACCATCTACTTTTATTTTCAAATCAGTTTTTATTATGATCCTCACAAAGTAGTCTGAGGTCAGGACCCCATTATTGCAAGATTGGTTTTGTGTGTGGAACTGTGGGTCATAACAAAAACTGTTTTGTTTTAGCAAGACTAAGACTAGTTAGTAAGACTCTAGGCGTTAATTCAGAATCATATCCTTACTTTGACACGTAACTCCGGCATGGAGATACCCTACAAAAACATACAAAAAATCAACTAAATCTTCCCCTCAATTTTTTAGATAATGGTCATGATTTACAATTTGTAAGGTTTATTACCTGAACATTTGTGTCAATTTTCTTATCTTTTTTCAAATATTACCTCCCAAAACGAAGACATAATATAAACTTTCTCACAGGTAACAAGCAAACCGCTGTACCGACGGTGGGGTGCGGGAGCGACTACAGTTCGCGACTGTATTCTTAGATCCTCATTAAATTCATGTGAGTAATTCATCATTATGGTCCCTAACTTCATGCACACGCGCTACTGCACCCCACTGTCAGTACGGTACGCAATTGGGAAAATATCTCAAAAATAAGTAATAAAAAATTGACACGAAACACATGAAACAGCAAAGAAACATGATTTTTGGTATGTTTTAGTAGAGTATCTCCATGCCAGAGTTACAGGTCAAAGTATGGATATGATTCTGAATTAGCGCCAGACTTAAGTCCAAGAGAAGAAAGAGCATCAAGAAAGAGAGGCAAAATTTGGCTAGGAAATTTTTGTTTGAAGCGACCGTCGTTTCTTTTGTGTTTTTTTCAAGCTAAATCTCCAATATTGAAAAAGAGAATATATTTAATGGGAGACATTCTCTCACTCTCCAAAATCAGTAATACATTACACCACTACCAGACTAAACATCATCATCATTTCCAGCTCTCGGGAACGAGCGTCGCGTTGGGCTCAAACTAAGCTTGGCCCTTCGCACTCAGTCACACGCGGCAGCGCGTCAGGGGCAGGTCACGTCTGACTGCCGACTGATTTCATCGAGAATAAGATTCAAGGCAAGCCGAGAGTTATGCGACCGACTCATTTCTGCACAGCCGCGCCATCGGCAAGTCATGCCAACGCTGCGCTAAACACGAAAATAAATACTTCCAACAGCAGATGTAGATCGACATCTAATAACTTGCTGTCATTAAAAGTATTATTATTGACAAGGATTGATTTCCTATTCGAAATGACATACCAGAAAATCATTCAGAAAACACAAGACGACGAATTGTAGCAAAGAATTTTCTTTCATTCAATGTTTTTGCAGGACCATGTAAGTCGCCATTTTATTTTGACGTCATAATGGTCTTCAAGAGCGCCAGCTTTTGTTCTAAGTTTGTATAATGATTAAGAGGCGTTTTTTATTGGACTCTGTCAAAGTTTGTGTCAAAATTATCAAAATTAATTTTGTATAATGTAGACCGACTTCTTTATTTAGAACACGGTAGTTACTATTATTCTGAAAATAATGAAACAATACAACAGAGTCTCCCGTTTTCCCTCAAGCGAAACCCCAACCCGAGTCCATGCATATGCACCTGTCGTTTAGTGTTTCTATGACGACGGGACTTTTGTTTACACCGGTCGCTCCGATATCCGTGCATAACATGCACTGCATGCACAAATCTCTCCCGCATAACATGACAGTGTAGAGACGGAAACATATCCAAGCGAATATACCGACTACAAACTTCGTTAAAATTTGTTACTTTTAAGGTTGCGGAATAAGTTCAAATAATGACGACAACGTTACCATCATTAGAAGGTATGTTACTCTTTATAATTGCATGTATATCCTTGAATTATTTGGTGGAAATGTGATATGCAATTGTGTGGACGAATATATTACTTGGAGTAGGAGATAAATGTTGAGCTGAGTACTGGACTAGTATAGTGGTAATGGTATTGGAAATGTGGAGTTCTATTCTCCCATTCCAAAATAGTTTAAGAAACTAAATAACTTTGGTTATGGATGTGTGAGATAAATCAACAACTATTACACTGAGTTTCGATGTTATTTGTTTTTTATTCTAATTCTATTATTAAAAATAATATGTAAACTAGCTGAGGGAAAAGTTCTGAGAGTTTTAAAGTTTATTTATGATTGAAGATATGGAAGTTTAAAATGAATGTTCTAATATGATTTTATTCACATTTTCATTGACATTTCTAGCCCTTCTTGGGAAGGAAAAGAAGAGCAATGTCTCATTTGGAACAACGGCCCACAGACCTCTCTTTCCCGCCAGCTTACCAGTAAACAGGATAGGGAATGGGATGGCTCTAGACACAAAACCAAACAGAGGACCTGGTTCTTATGATAATGCTGAGGTAATTATCTTTTACCAAATATATGTTACATCTATAGTATGGTTATAAGATAGCGGTGATATAATGTTGCATCGGTGATGAAAACTATATACCGGTACATTAACAATAATTATTATTATTGATAATACTTCTAATAATGATACTTATGATGATTATATTTTAACAATATTAATTTGATGATGAAATAGTGATGGTAGTATGGATGTATTTTACAGACATATTGGGTGGTATTCCGGTAGCGCGTACTAAGTTAGCGTGTACTTAGTTAGTTCACACTTTTATGGAGTGCCTGTTGCAAACTAATTTACCCTGTACAGATTATTTTAATCCTTCAATGAAAAGTGTCAAAAAAATTGACTTTGCAATGAAATCGGAAGAAAAAGATAATATGAGTATGAGCTGAATTTCAACAAAGTCTTTGGTAGATTATCTTTGTCATGAATATTGAAGGAGGAAGATGAAACCTAGCATTCCATAGAAGTGTGAACTAAAATTCTTGTTTAGTCTGGACTTAGTCCCGGCTTAACTTATGAGAATACCACCCATTGTGCTTAATCTTCTACACTATACAAATATCATAAAAAGGCTTCAATATTCAAGATTTTGTTCCATATGTAATACAGAAATTTGTATTCCATGGGTGTTGTAAAGTGTAAGTGCAATGTAAACAGGAGGGCATTATTAGGTTCCGTCAAGTACTTGTCTTTGACTTTAAGATTTTGTTTCTTATTTGGTGATTGTAACTTAGATTTTTGATTTTGCCATTATAATGCTTCTTACTCCAACTGTGGTATATTCTTTACACAGATTATATTTCAATAACAACTTTAATTTTAAAACTGTAACTATATGGCAAGAGATTTGAATGTTTTTTCTTCTTGATCTTGTTTTGAACAGAAAACTACATCTATGTATGATGTAGACAACCAGGTAACAAGCAAGAAGGGCTATACAATGGGAGCCAGGACAGGACCAAGGATAAGAACAGAATTTCAAGTGAGTATTTTTGTCTTCATCTTGATCTTTATGCCAGACAAAAAGAAAGAGAGAAAGAGCAAGTGAGACAGAAATAGACAGGCAGACTAGCAACTGTGGACTCTAGTAGACAGAAGCAAACATTGCAAATATTATATTTTAAATACTTTAACAGAAAAATACAGAATGAATACTAGTAAATAAACATGAGCAGACAGGGAGAATTACCAGTGACAAGTGAGAGAATGAATCTTGCTCCTAATATTATTTGGATTGTCTTTTTTTTAACATCTTTTGATTTATACTAGGAGTTAACATTGTATTTCATTTGCGATGTTTGACATTTTTAAATGTCATTCCAAATGAAAGGATTTTAGTGGAAGTTGTTCGACTGAACTGTTCCATAGAACAATTTTATCACTAATTTAATAGAATAATCACATTTAAGTCAGTAATACATGTAGTAATACATTTGTAGGTTTATTTTGCTCTCATTTGATTTATACATTATAATTATAATTAACAGTATGTTTTCATGATATAAGATATTGATTTTGATTTTGTACCTTTTCTTTGTCCCTCAGACAAAAACACCATGTCCTTCTGCCTACCAAAAACAATGGTCCGCGCCAAAGACCTTTGACACTTCCAATAAACCGTTTGAAGTTGGAGCAAACAGGTTCTACAGAAACACAGTCGATCCTGAACTCACACCAGGGTAAGTGTTTTGTTTACCTCAAAAACATCTGGGGGGTGTTTCACAAAACTTATCATCAGTGACAAATGACAGTTTTGTTATAAGCTACTGAAATCCTTGCTTGTGACTGGTTGTCAGCAGATTTCTCACTGATTTTTGTCATTTGTCATTGAAAAAAGGCTTTGTGAAATGGGTCCCTCATTCGAGAGCACTGAATAATAACAATGATGATAAAAATGGTTCTTACAATTTTTTTGCATTTTCTTTTTGTACTTGTAACCTGAAACCTTTTGGCGGGATTCAGAAAAGAGTGAAAAGAATATCTTGTATCTATAAATTCTCTGGGTACTATATAGTCACAACAATGTATTCCATGAGGGCCTATGAGTGACATGCCAGTAGGAAAGTATCTGTAACTTTAATATACAAGTTGAATGAGCATATACATGTACAGTATGTACACAGTGACATATTACACCCATATAAAATAAAGATAGCAATAAATCCCTACTATATGAGCAGGAATGAAAAACGAAATGGCAATAGATTTGTTTAACATCATAGATAATATTAATTTTCCCCGTTACATATCCCAAGTCCAACATCTCATGTCTCAGTCTGATGGTCAAACTTTGAATGGCTATCACAGATTTCTGCTCTTGAACTTGGTAAATTTTATCATCATTTATATATTCGGGTGTTCAATTTTGTATACATTTAGAGCCGTTTTTTCTGGTACAGTTTGAATAATCTCTTGATTTTCTTTTCCTTTTTTTCTTTTTATAACAGGGCTGGAACTTACGAACACAATGTGCCAAGGAACAGGAAAGTAGCTTACCACGGAACATTCGGAGGTCCACAGCTGCTCAAGATCCCGCCGACAGACGGCTACCTCATGCCGGAAGACTGCAAAGGAACGACGCAAAAGAGCCGCCTCATGACGTACAAAGAGAAGAGGAAATTCGCGATCCGCGAGGCTTACCTCAGTTTGTACTTTTGAGGATGCGACAGCTTATTTTTATGGGCAATTAAAAGACACTTTAGTTCACTTTGAGGAGCTGCAATATTCTGAACAATGTAATTTTCAACGTGTATTTTTGAGCTGTTCTTCATGAGAAATCATCTTTTTCTTCTGTGATTTGTTTTTTTTCTCACAAATAGTGGAGTTTTTTACATGAACTTCTATCTCACTTTGTGACCATCATGTTATATCATCTCTTAAATTGTTATTGAATCCATTATTTTCATGTAGTAATATAGAGGTTGAAAAAAATTCAGTAATTTGTTTCAAATCTCGTTTGCTCTCAATCACTTCCAATTCCTCTCTCTTTCCCCTCTTTCCTTATCTAAGATCACAGAGAAAAAATCCTTTCCATACTTGATACGTTATATGTACTCAAATAATAATGCCATGCTGAAATGTACCTCACAATGAGAAAAATTTGTAAATATTGTACAAATATTAAATGTTAATAAATGTTATTGAACTCAACAAAACAAGAAATGATTGCAGTTTGTTCTTTTTAGTTTTACTCTAGTGTTATTTATTTCCTGAAATAGTTTGCTGTTTCGTTCCAAATCCTACAAAGATAATTAGGAGCCTTGATCAAATAATAGATAAATTGAAGACACATAATACAGGTGTATGTACATATGAAAAGTCGTGTAGAACACATCATTACAACAAACGGACATCACCAACTAAGACTTAAAACCTAAGACTTGTTTGAGAAGAAAATCTACTTCTAGGCCCTGATTCACAAAACTTGTTATCAACAACTAATACCCAATTTCTATGAGAAATTTGCTCTCAGCCAATCAAATGCCACCATTTCAGTAGCTTATAACAGTTATTGTAACTTGTTATTGATAACAAGTCTTGTGAAACAGGGGCCTGGTATTCTTTTAGATCCATCAGGATAACGTTTATGATGAGGAATCATAATACAAGTAGCAAAGAGGGGCAATGATGTCATTCAGGAGGGGTAATACTTCCTCATATTCATGGCTTTTAAACACAAACCGGTAATTGAATTGAACATTGTTTTGAATAATCTCAACCTAAAATTTATTTGCATTCTTTTTCAAAAGAAGTACCGGTATGCACACTTTATCACAATGATATTGGAGTCTTCAAAAAGGCAATTCCTAATAGCCTTTCAAAAAAAGACATTGCCGCCACGAGGAAGCATTAAATATCTTAAATTCATAAATAAATGAAAAAGAAAAGAGAAGTCAAATCTAACATAATATTTGTTGTACCTATCATTTAAAAAACAAATTTCTTTCCAAAGAGCTGATATTTGGTGATAGAAGGTCTGCAAATTTGAGAAATAGGAAATCTTCAGAGCCATAGTGGAAAGCAAAAAAAGAAGTCAAGGAATTTGTTCCTGTATCAAGATGTCTCTGAATCTAGAAAGATGGTTGTCGTCTTCGTCTATACAGTATTTCCCAATCAGCTGGGAACAACAAGTCTGAGTGACTACATGCGTTAGTGAAACAACAGTTTGGGGTTTCTTTGCATGAAAAAGTATGCAAGCAGGGAGGAAGTATCGGCTACAATAAGCCATGATCTTTTTTACGATGACATTACCAAAGCCTCAGTTACTAGCCATTTTTATACATCAATCGTGAAGATAGCTCCCAAAAAAAAGAAAAATTGCAGCAAGTACCTTGTTGATAAAGCTTTAAGCATATAAACGTTGTTGCTACCAGCACGTTTGCATAATTTTCCTTTCTTCATATTACTTTATCATTTACCAATAGAATGACGGGAGAAAATTATTCTAGATTGATTTGTTCATCATCTACCTATACACACATATTATTTTGTCAAGTGATTTCTACACTTAAAGCCCCAATGCACCAATAATAGCTACTTGCGCCCTCTATATAGCAAACAATGCCTAATCGGTACCTGTTGGTCCCCCATGATCCTCTTTTTCTTATGTTAATTGAGAGAGTATTCGATGAGATAACCACCTGTCAGTGACCGTCACCATGGTGGGAGGTCTAATCCCTCCTGGCCAAACTAGTGCAGAGGGGCTTTAATATTGTTGGGAATGGTGTTTTGGGGTTGGGGTAGGCCCTCGCTAGGCCAACATCTGCTGTTGAAGACTCTCAAGTCTGCCCTCTACTGTGGCTAAGTTGTTCTGCCAGTTGACCAGATGCTCTCTAAGCTGCTGCCATTGCTGGCGTCCAAACGTCCGATGCGTCACAAAGCTAAGGAGAGATATGATACAGGCAATCAATTAGGAATTTACATTTTTTCAGGTGTAAAACTGCAATACATACATTGTATACAGTAGGCTTGCGGTTGCACCATGTGAGAGAAAGGGAGGATTGGGGAGTCTTGAAAAGGACTGTCAGTAATATTTCCTTCTCCCCCTCTCTCATATGGTGCAACTGCAAGCCTATTGTATATCTACATCACCATGGAATAGCCTGCCAATAGAAATACGAAGCACTCCATCTTTCAATGTTTTCAAATCCCAATTTAAAAACTTATTTGTTCAACTGAGAGATCTTATTTTGTAGAATTTAGTAAAAAAGAGCTCTTAACCAGCGCAGCTGAATATATTTTGTATAAAAGCTGCGCTATATAAATTTATTATTATTATTATTATTATTATGCAAGCCGATACTTATAACCAGCATGAAATACATATAAAGTCAAACCTGCTTTAGTGAACACCTGTATAGAAAGATCACTTCGTTCCCCTTGAAAATGGTTACTCATTGAAACATGTACTAAAGGAACCTTTACATACAGCCCACCTGCCTATAAAGACCACTGTTCTTGTCTCCCTTGGGTGGTCTTAAAGGCATGTCTTTTTTACATAAAAAGATTGTGATGTAACAATGTAATTTTTGTGGTACCAATGTCCTCATTTCTAATGTATGTAGTAAAAACTAGCATAGTCTAGCAGAGCAAAACGACAACTCACTTTAAATTACATAAGAACCAACACTCATCTCTTTCTATTTCTCTCTCTCTCTCTCTCTTTCTTGGACAATCTTTACAATTTGTTGTTGGTCAACAAAATATCTGTCAGTCTGACAAAAGGAAATTGGAAGTTTTTAAGGTGGTAGGTGGTTGGGTATGGGGTGGGGGGGGGGTTATGTAGAGGGCGTTGAAGTTATCGTATAGCATAGGGGCATGTTGCCCTTTTCTCTGATTAATCTTGAGCATTGCTGATAACTCACCTGACGTTTACTTTGTGCTGTAGCTGATCAATCTTTGCCTTGGCCATCTTGGATTTTACAACTGGGGAAAAAAGAGGAAAAATAAAAATAAATTCAATCTAGAAATATGGCAATATATGTTTCAACCAAAATCATTGAAACAGTAAAATGTGTACAACAACAAAATTAACATTGCAAAAACATGCAACAAAAGAATGATACATACTTAATATGATAATTGAGTTTTATGTGGGGGGGACTAGCAAAGGCCCAAGGCCTATCAAGGGCTAATCCATAGCTAGGTTGGGAAAGAAAGTAATCAAGCTAATACATGTATAAATATAGCTGCCTATAAAGTTTGGGCTTGGTTCTCAATGTTTTCATACCAAAAGATAATTCTTATGTTAAGGGTATGAAATATTTAGCTGTTCACTGTATATACAGTAAAAAATGAGCGTGAACCGTGGAAGTAAAACATGACTTATATCATTATTTGTACATGTAAACTTGTTATGGATAACTAGATTGTAGGAAGCGTGATGCTTGTGATGGGTGTATTGAATGTATCGAGATATACTGTACGGCCTTGTCCTGCAGACGAGTTAGTTTAGTTTGGAGTTTGAGAACGAAGCTCGAAATGACGATTAAATAAGATCACTTCCTGAATCCTAACCACTTTGTGTAACTTTGTCGTCTGTTGAGTGGACTAAGGACCTGGGGACAACGGGTAGAGGACTTCATCCGTAACAATGCTTACCATCGATGACGAATCCTTCGACATCATCTTGTGACATCTTGAGCTCTTGTTGGAGCGTATCAAAGGAGATCTCCTTCACGTCTACAGCCATCCCCATGAAGGTCAGAATCCTCATCTTCTTCATCATCTCATCATGAGAGAGACCTACATGCAAAATAAAAATAATGATTATTACCCGGCTTTAGCACGGATGCCATCAGGCCTAAAAATAAAAGATTTTCTTCTTTTTCTTTTTTGTCCCTCTTTGGGCTGATATTTTTCAGTTTTAAATGCTTTCATATTTTTTAGCCAACCGTAGATTTCAAGATTTTTGGGTCTCTAATCGCTATAACAAACAAAATAGACTGATAAACGATTACATATTAAACAAAACAAGAAAATGCAAAGAAACCTACAAATTACAATACATATGAAATATACATCAATGTGAACAGAGTAAGTTGATCATCAAAAGCAATTTTGAATAAATGTGTCTTAAGACAAGTTTTGAATTGGATAACAGTCTGACATTTTTTTTTACATTTACAGGTAGTTTGATAACTGCGGGTTCTTGTATAGTGCTCATGTCTGTCAGATTTGACACCCCTCGCACTCCATGATTATAAGTCCGGCTTTAGCATGGCTGCCATTATGGCGCTCTAGCATTTCATCATGAGATAGACCTACATGTACATGGAAAATAAGAATAATGATGATAACAGTGGGTTCTTGTGTAGGGTTCTTTTGTAGCGCTCTTGTCTGTCAGACTAGACACTCCTGGCAGCGTAAATTATAATTACACAACTGTTTAGCCATTTTCGCAAACAATTTCCAACGAAACTGCTCACGAAGAGTCTAGACTGTACTTTAAACCTGTGCATGCGAACGTTAGGGTTAGTAATAGAGTTATAATAATCATGCTTTCATCAACTCATCGTTGGCTCAATCGGTAAGGAAAGCGTAATACAATCTAGGAGTTGTGGATTCCAGTCTCAGTATTTATTCTGTCCTATTGTTGGACTTCATAAATAGTGAGACAAAGCATTAAATAATCAAAGTCTACGTACAGCTCTAGCAATAAAAAAAACTACCACCAAGGGTAATGTTAGACTCTAGTCTCTAGTCGTTCGCACAGTATATTTGACTGAAGTGGCTAAACAGTTGTGTAAAGAAATAGGCGCCTCCTGGCGCTCCACAATTATTACCCTTGCTTTAGCATGGCTTCCATTATGGCACTCTAGCAATGAAAGGAATCAATTCCTGCCAGGTACCCATTTACCTCACCTGAGTCGAGTGTGGCAAATGTAGATTAACTGCAGACCATGTGATCCACCTTCTAGTGATGTATCCACTCGACCACGACACCTCTACCACAACATTTAATAATGAATTATGGGTAAGATACTAAAACTATTTCATGAAGTTAGAAATTCAATTGTTGTGTTCAATAGTACGATAACATTGCCCCCTAACCAAGATTTTTTTTAAATATCTGACTTCTTGGCATGACCATCTATAGATAGATAGCACATCTCACAAATTAACGTGACCACAACATTTTGTATCTATATCTCAATCTCTTTCTTTATATTACATAATTCACATATCTCTAAAGCACAATCAGTTATGAAGCTTCACACTACTAGATGGATACAAAATTATGAATTCACCATCAAAACATGCAAGAGAATCTAGGCCATTAAATCACACAAGATCATGCCCGTTAATCACAAGACTCTTTTGCTTATGTAACATTCAGGACGTAAACCCTTCTTGCTTTTACCCCAAAATACAATGTTCATAGCTCACCTAATCCTTTGACGAAATCCTGATTTGCATTGTAGAAATTCAGATAGTCCTCTAACCTGCCTGAGACAAATATCGTCAGGAGCTGCAAGATGATGAGAAAAGAAGTAAATTCATTGGAATGACGCTTATAAGATAAAACTAAAGGAGCTGGGAGTTGGTCTAGCAGTGATGCCCAAAGTCAGCTCTGTTTCTTTAAAAAAAAATCTTAAATGAAAAGCTTAAATTTCAACAAGAAGAAATCGTAATTTTTGCAAGATTGATAAATTTGTATAAAAATGAGGTACCTGTCACAAAGAAGAATAATTTTGATAAAGGTGTGTAAAGTAGATGACATCTTTAGGTTTGAGAATCTCCTATTTGATATTTCCTTTAAGGGAAAGTCCACCCTGATAGTGAGTTGATTGCCATCACCTGAAGACTCTCCAAGAGACTACATGTATGGGGAATTTCTTGATTGGACTACAGGTTTGCTGTGTGCAGACTGTGTACACCAATTTAGTATTTCCACCAAGTATGGTGTCAGAAAATTATGATCTTCTGCACATGGAAACTGATAACCCTCTCCTTTTAAAATCAACTTAATATCCGGGCGGACTTCCCCTTTAATATCATCTTGGGCCCTTAAACCCTCCCGAACAAAAACGAGACTAATTTCCAAATCATGACTCACATCATGAATCCTATCTCCTTCCAGGAACTTGACCGGTCTTAAGGTGAGGAGGTGATCAAAGAGGTAGGCCTGATAACCCCCTCCATTTAAAACCAACTTAATATCAAGGTGTACTTCCCCTTTAATATTTTCTTGGTCTCTTAACCCTCCTGAACAAAAAAAAGACTGATTTCTACCCCATGACTGATAAGGTAAGTCATCGGAATCTATGGATAGCGCCGATAAACCCAACAACAACAACAACTACTCACATCATGAATCCTCTCTCCTTCTAGGAACTTGACCGGTCTGAGGGTGAGGAGGTGATCAAAGAGGTAGACCTGTGGGCCGGCAATGGCGCTGACGATGCACCTGTTGGCCTCATCACGAGCCTGGGAGGCGTTGTCCTCCGTGTAGGTACCCAAGAGCTCAACCATCACCACACTGGCTTCATCACTGAGAGAGAGAGAGAGAGAGAGGGGAGAGGAGGGGAGAGGGGGAGAGGGGGAGATGAGGAGAGAGAGAGGGGGAGGAAGGAAGAGAGTGACAGAGGGTGAGGGAGGAAGAAAGAAAGAGACAAAGAGAGAGAGAGAGAGGGGAGGGAGGAAGACAGAAAATGAGAGAGAAGGAGAGACAGAGAGAGAGACAGAGGGGGAAAGAGGGAGGTAGAAAGAGAAAGAGAGTGAGAGAGAGAGCAAGAGCGAGAGAGAAAGAGGGGAGAGAGCGAGAGAGAAAGAGGGGGAGAGAGAGAGAGAGAGAGGAGGATATAAAAGTTATGAATCAAATTTTCTCTTGTAGAATTGCTATGACATTGTTATAAGTGATAAATCTGTTCTACATCTGAAATTTGTCACTACAGTGTACACTAAACAATCAATATAAGAATGAAGATATGACCTTGCAATGCATTGCTCTCCGTGAAAGGGAAGATGCGTATCAGATTTAATAGCGGCACTATTTAAAATAAAACTTTAACTTCACTTAAAATTCAATCTGAGCACTTTACATTCATTAGCAGCTTCAATGAGTTGCTGGAAAGGATTATCATTTTGAGTTTCAAGGTACAAGGTACATGCAGACAATAGAACCCATAAATATACGACCACATGTATAGAAAGACCACCTGTCTACAAAGACCACATTTTTTGTTTCCCTTGAAAATGGTTTCTCATTGAAACATGTACTAAGGGTATCTGTAAATAAAGAACAGTTTACTTGTCTCCCTTGGGTGGTCATTATAGACAGGTTTCACTGTATATATAAGTTCAGATCCATAAAAGACCATTTGTATAACAGCTAAGATTTAATGTTCAAGCACCAGTATTGTCCTCAGCTACATTAATAATCCACTGTAGGAAGTATGTCAATGGAAAAAGCTATAATGCTGATTAAACTGCCTCCCAAATTGTGTAGTTCTAAAGACTGCACAAACTTTAGAGCCTACCGGTAATTGTGGACTGATCCAGCCCAATTCATCATTATATAACCGGCGGCATAACAAATGACCAACTGACTTGTATCTAGGAGGCGCGATGGCTCAGTGGTCTCGTAACCAAGTCAATGCACCCATGCCCTTTGGTGAGGCATTAATTCTCATTACCAAGTCCCTCAGAGAGGACTTAAAGCCATTGGTCCCCTGGTTGCTTACTTACAAGCATACAATGAGTGATTTCAAGTTGGGTGTTACTGTTAGTGATAGTTTTAGTGTTTAGAGCAGTCAAGAGCTCTTAAATCGAGCTAAATATTTGCTGATAAAATTAAGAGTCTGATACCATAATCAATATTGATAGCTCATCACTAACACCGAACTGGAAATCAAAATTTGCTTATTCCATAGGGGCTAGTTTTAGTGATTAGGACATTAGTACATAAAATGTACCAGAAGTTGATGATATTCAGAGGTCAAAGCCTGAACACCAGCCCTAAACACCCAACTTGAAATCAACCAATGTACATGCCTTTTTTTTAGCAGTCCGGTAAGACAATCATCATCAAACAAAATAATAAACTTACCCATGCTTGCTTTCTTTGAGCCCCTCATACAGCAGCCTGTAGACATTGTTGATTCTGTCTCGGTTCAGTTCCCACTGAATGGTCCATTTTTTCACCTTTGACAAAGAAGAGTAAAATAGAATAATCATAATAATTTAACACAATAATAATAATAATAATCCTTTAAAGTCCACTCCAAATTTTATTAAGTTTAGTTAAACCAAAAATGGAAATTCTTTTTGCCCAATTGATCGTGAGCCCGGCAGCCACTGAGCAGTGCCAGATCGACGTTGCTCTATCCCTTATTGTTGAACGCCAAACAAGGTAGCTCCCGTCTTTTAACGTATTTTGGTATGACGCGGCCGGGGTTCGAACCCATGACCTCCCGGTTGTGAGGCGAACGCTCTACTGACTGAGCCAACACACCGGTTCCTATATGTTTGTATAGCCCATAACACTTACGCATATTTGCATGTCTTTATGAGCTTTTCAGAACAGAATACCAAAGGAGTAAAAATGGTGCACTGGATTAATAACTGTGAGATCTTACAAAGTGCTCAATAGATATGTCTTTAAATTACTTCTGAACTTTTCATAGGTTTCTATATGTCTAAGGTATTCCGGCAAGTTATTCAATAAATTAGTGGTTGCATATGAAAATAACCTTTCCCCATAAAGATCTTGTCAGTTTGTGGCACATAAAATATAAAGTTATTTCAGTCATCAAGTTAAATGGTACATGAGGAAATGTAGCAGCTCTAAAATTGAGCAGAGGTCTCGTAACCTGATTCAAAACCAAGTCGATGAATTTATACCCTTTGGTACGGAACATTTTCATCAAGTCCCTAACGTTGGACTTAAACTGATTATGTACAGGCATAAACTTCTTATAGCAGTAAGGTAAAATAATGATAATAATATTAACATCTTGATAGCGCTTAAAACTACTTTTATAAGTGCTTTACATTGTACTTGTTAATACCCCAGGCATTGGATACAATTGCTAATTTGTTCATGATAGCACACACACTCCGCTCCATAAGGAGTATTCACGCCACATGCCATGCCAACCACATTAAAATTCTCATCCTACTGGGTACCCATTTAACACCCGAGTGGAGAGTGGCAATTGTAGATAAATGTCTGGCCAAAGGACCCAAGGCCCGTGCCTTGAATCCATGACCTTTGCATTCCAAGTGTTGAAACCACTCGACTACAACACCTCAAGATTATATCTTCCATCAACAACCAGAATCAGAATCATACCTTGTCTAAATCTGTGACGACTTGATCAATGTTTTCATATTTAGCAGCAACTCTTAACATGCCTGTGTAGACGTGGTAGGCAAGAGGGTTCGTCTCTCCAACGCCATGGAATAAACTATTCAAACTGGAGAACAGAAACAAGAAGAAATCAGTCAACTCTTTATATGCACACAAATAATCTTGCCGTGCCACATAGTATTGATCATAAGATAGATATACATGTACATGTACTAAACGCTTCAAGATTATTGCATTGTTTCTAGTGAAAGATTTAGCGTATAATCGTGTTTACAGGGTGTCATGGAGGTAATCAAGACCAGAAATGGGAAATTTTGCAAAGCCATTGTGTTGTACTAAGTAATCTTTTAGTTAATTTTGTGCAAAATTACACAATTTTGTGCAAAATTACACATGTAGCAAACAAGCTATTTCATGTAATTAAAGTGTTATTATCTATCTCTTTCGAAAACTTTTGAATTGAGATATATGACATATGCCGTTCATATTTCACAGACAAAGGGCTATTCACAACATGGTAGTCATGTGAATTTGTCTCTCCAATGCGATAAAATAGGCAATTCAAACGAAACTGAAAGACAAATATAAACAAGATGAAATAGAGGAAGGTACCGTGTGCGAGTACAGGTAGTTCTAGCTTTGTATTCCTGTGTATTATGAACCCATTGTCTACTGGAACCGAATGGTCCCTGTGTTATGCCTATGGGAATGAGTGAATTCAGTAAACTGCCAGTAGAGGAAGGAACATAACAAGAGAAGACATTATCAAGAACCATTTCCCTGGTACTTGTACTGAATTCTAGCTGTACAATTGAATATTGGAAGACAAGAGATGGAAAGGGGAAAGGTTAATGATATGTTTATGTTGCAAACAAGTATTTGTTTGAGCCATGTCTATCATTGCTGTGTTATATCTTTCTAAATGTACTATATTTTGTATTTTAACCGTACAGTATAAACGTCATGCTTTTTGATGTAAATATGTTCATGTTTATTCAGGGCCCCATGAAAGACCACTACTTATTGGTGAATGGGCAAAAGATTAGAAATAAATAAAATGGCATCCTACATTTTGATTCTGATGTACGACTGCTCGGCTGTGCCTGACTTGGTGATATGTTCGCTGAGTTTAGGGACAAGTTTTTCCATCGTTTCTTGTGGAAAGTAGATGAGAAGAGACAGGATACTGTTGAAAACACCTTCAATTTCTGTAGAGGAAATAGACAAAGAAAGAGACTTGAAAGGGTTATTTCAAATTAAACATTAAAACTATGGCAGTTTATGAAAATTGTTATCAACATGTTAAAATATTGAAGTTATTCCATTATTTGGTTGGTAGCTCATGAGTTTTAAAACGGTATCAGTTGTTGTAATGAATTATTCATAACAAGTTAGAATCGGGGCAGAGTGTCTTATCAGGGAATAATTTTCCTGGTATCGCATCGCAATTTGCTATGCATTTTTGCATGACTGCTATACATAATATCTTTTGTGTAGCAATTTTCTTCCATAGAAATGTACAGAATTTCACTTGAAATATTTATCCATCAGCTGAAATTGCTAATCAAAAAATTTGAGGAAAATTATTCCCTGCTTATTATAACATGAAGAACAATGGGAATAGCCACTGTAGTTAGGAACTAAAAATACAACACACTTCCAGAACTAGACCATTCATTTGGGAGGGTATTTTTCAATATTATTTTAGAACAATTATCCTAGAAGACAAATTAAATTTGTCTGTAATATAATGAAGTTTTTATTTTCAATAAGTTACACATGATATAAAGAGTGTGGTTCTTCCACGTCATGTGAAATCTACTGTTAGAAGAGAGAGGGGTGAAAGAACTGGGAGTGGTGCTAATAGAGAAGGCTAGAAGTCGAGCATTGTGGAACAGGATGATCGCCAAAGTCAATTGAAATGGCACTTAGAGTAGAAGAAGAATCTCAAAAACATTTTTATAGTCAATTTCAATAACTGGTATCAAGGATATTATAAAACAATCAATCATTGTAATATTTTCTTCTTGCAAAACTAATAATCCTGACTGCCACAATTAAAAACATGTGTGAACTTTAATCCTGAAATGTGTGAATTTTAATTCTGAAATGTGCTTTTTTTTTCACTTACCGTTCACATCTGGTAATTTCCAGACGACTCCCACATTATCGATGACTGCTTCAAGGTCTAATTCTAGACCCTCCTCACTCATCGTCTCTGAGATATCGGCTCCCTTTTCCCTCAGGAAGGACCTCAGCTCCCCGGCCTGAAGAATGAAAAAGATATTAATACAATGCATATTTCATGTTTAGATAACTTTCTTCTTCTTTGCTTCCCTTCCTCCAGTCTGGAGAACTGCAGTTGGTGCAGGTGTTGATAGTACACATAAACAAAGAATTAGTGAGTTTACACACTCCAGCAATGCATAGAGAGTCAATGCTAATGCGTGTTGACCTCTAGCACTGCACTACATGTTAACAGGCAGCATTTGCACACATGAATAGTCAATACACTTATAATACACAAGTGCACACAATCATGCCGATGTGGCTGATCGGCAAGTCTGACAGTAGCCTTACAATTTGAATTTTTAAATTATTCTTTCTAACATCGGTAAGTTTAACAATTTGTATTTTACTACTATTTACATGTACATGTAGGAGTCATCAATTGTCACTATTTAAAGTACCGATTTTGATTGAAATCAGTTGAGTTTTGTACAGTGGTGTTTTTGAAATGTTGAGAATCAATAGCACAGCTTTTAATACACAGCCAGGATAGTAATGCAGCTAGATGTTGATAGTACATACAAAGAATTGTTGAGTTTACAGTGAAGTCACATAGTCAAACATTCAACATGGAGGTCAAGTATGAAACTGAGAGAGAGATTGTGAAAGAGTGAGGGGTTGATCCAGTCGGAAAGCGAGGTGTGAGAGCAGGAGCCAAGTAGTTTCAATTACCTATTCGTTTCTGCCTAATAAATGTGTTAGTTTATTTCATGAGTTTTGTCTGGGGCTGTTGTATTATCAAGCGATCTGCTTACAACGACAGTCCTTCTTCCGCAAACAATTTTATGTTATATAACGTTTGAGGAAATTTATTATTTATAACAGTTTATCATTTCGCTTTTGAAAATAACAATTTATATATGTATTTGCTTATTTATGATTCATTGTCAGTAAAATATTTATTGTACTTTTTATATTATTATTTATATTGAAAAACTGTGTACTTACATGAATGCAGAAGAAAATCAAATCAAATCAAGTAACATTAGTTTTGTGAAGCATTCACCCTTCAATTTTTGTTTGTATTACAATAATGCCTATCCAAACGTCTTGGTTTGTGATAGTGCAAAATTTCACGCTCCTACAAATGAAAGAGGTGAAAAAGCACAACCAATTACATAATTTTATAGTCTTTTTTTAACTTGTTTGAAATCATTTCCAAGGGGTGATCATTGCTACTTTGAAAGAATTTTTATTGATATTGTGTAGCTCATATGATGCCATCACAGGTAACTAAGTTCTCACTGATTTCAGACATGAATTGCACAAATGACAAACGGCACTGGTAGAAAAAATGTAGACCTAACTAGGTACAGGGCTTATGCAGGAGAAATACATTTACAGTCATAATTGTAAAGATTCAAGATTCAAGATTCAAGATTCAAGATTTTATTGTCTAAGACTCCATAATATAATACAGAAATTTGTTTTCCATTGGTATAACATGTAATACATAAAACAGAAGACAAAAACATAATGTCGTGTGCTGAAAGCCAGAAGGGCGTCAAGACTATACAAAAGAAATGTTTAATTATTTTGAGCAGCAAATGAATCCCATCTACTCTAATCGCAACTAATGAATGGTAGGGGTGCTAGTCTAAGAATAAGGATCTTCCGCATAAACAAGGATATCTTTGTAACCGCAGACAAATCGCATCCTAAAACATACATGTTAGTAGGCTGTAGGCAAATACATACAAAAAAATAAATTCACAAAATTGGCTTGAAAATACATCAGACAATTAGTCTGAACCACGTCAGGAGCAAATTTCAAAACAAAATTGTTATTTAGGTGCTGTACAACCAAAGAAATAAGAGAAAAACTGACAAGATATATTATTTGTAATAAAAATTGTACAGTACATGTAAAATTGTCCTTACTCTAAATTTTCATTCGACAGTTGATTGGTGACGGCCGTTACGCGCACGGGTGCGTAATAAGAGTTTTTTAAACCAAAATTGTACCGCGAAAACACTTAGGGGTCAGACAAGATAACATAGAAAAGATATATCCTTCCACCTGGCCTGATTATTGGCGACTCATCTAATCATAGACTAGACTATAGAGTAAAGGAGGGGGTAATCGACCATCGGCAGTTTTCGGCCGATCTACGGGCATGCGCGCTTCCTATTGACTTTGTACATCCGGCCGAAAACTGGTTCGCTATGCCGATAACTGGCTCCGAAACAGTGAAATGAATATTGTCATGGCAATTCATGATTTTTTTCTGGGATTCTTTTTTTGTTTAAATAATAAGAATATTTGCTTCATGATTTGAACAAGAAATGATAATAAATAGGAAGTGAAGAGTCCAAAAAATAGAATTTTGTCTTAAGTGGCCGAAAAACCCCTCCTTTAGTTTTACTCTAGAACTGAAATAAAGTGAAGGCTAAGGCTAAGCCTAAGCCGAAGGCTAAGGCTAAGCCTAAGCCGAAGGCCATTCAGATTTCTGTATGCGCGCGAAGCTCCCTCTTGTGCCCCATGAACGTCCGCATATTCGCGCACATTTTTTTCCAATGTACCTGATATTTTATTTTTTTGAAGACGCAATTTTCTAAACTTTTTAAATTAGGATTTTGGATTCTAACCAAAAAAAATCACTCGCATCTTTACTATCACTTCATTCACAAACACGTATTTCAATATGTGGGAATTAATAAAGAAACAAAATAAATCTTGTTGTACAAAGCGATAATTACGAAAATAAATGTCAGATTTAAAGATCATTATACGGAGATATTTCATAACTTACCTGTTCGGCTTCGGGGATATTAATAAAAGCTGGTAAACTCATGATTTTGCGGTTATTTTCACTCCCGTATGTCTCACAGAAAATTAACACACACGGCACGCGGGTAGATATTACTCCGATTTGGGGAGTACGATTGGAGATGTGTAGACACGAGTGAAGACAAGAGAATAGGTTCCAGTCTGCTCGCCACTTCATTTCGCCGATTCACCACCGAGCTATACAATCTCCATAACATTTGATACCGGTCCCATTCTTTGCAGTATCGCCGCCATATTGAAGCTCCTAGATCGACCCAGACTACGATATTGCAATTTTGATATAGACTATATATCTATTTAGACCAAATCTTTTTTCTTTTTTTATGCCTAATTCGTGAGAAAATATTTAGCGGCGAATCAGCAAACCGGCGAACAAGCGGGATGCGATGAGCTTACAGTGAACTTGAAAAGTAGTTGACAGCAATTCTGGTTTATCCATCACACATAGTCTAGACTCTAGATCTAATTTCATTCATTACTTTTTCAGTCCGAGTGAGAGATAGAGAGAGACAGAAAGAGACAAGAGAAAAGAATCCAACTAATCAAATAAAGACTGAAAATCTCAATCCACATATTTACAATTATTTTGCAGAGAAAGCCAGAAATTAAAATATTATTATTTGGCCAATTTTGGAGTTATATCATAATGATTGTTGTTGTTGTTGTTGTTGTTGTTGATCTAAAAAGAAAATAAAATGGGGACCTATTGCGAGGGATGGGGTGGGCAATGTAGAAAAAAGCCTTGGACGTGGTCACTCAAAAGGGCCTTTTTATGGGCAATCGGACAACAAAAATAATGTATCCGAAAGCGTAGAATCAATAAATAAGCATATTTTGTAACGTCATTCCTAGATTCCCAGCTACGCCTTTACTGACCCCATTTTATTTGTATCATTTTGTTTTTTCACCCCATGATATTGACTTGTCCATCTCTTTTTTTTAATGGGACCCCCCCCCCCCCCCCACCTTCTAATCAAAGGAGAAAATAACATGTGATACTCTTTCTTTAACAAGCGACTCTCTGAATAGGCTATTTTCGTAATGTATCCAAATTTAATGCATTTTTTTTTTGCTCAAGAGGGGGTGTGGGGGGGGGGGGGTCTTGATTTAAAAAAAATGGAGCTCCAACCCCCCCCCCCCCCCGACCTCCCATTGAGCATCAAAAAATAATACTCACTCCCATGAATTTAGATGAACTATTTATATAAAAAATCAATAATAAAATATACAATATTCAGAAATAGTAATGTTCATAAAAGATTTTGTGAAATGTCATGAACGCAATATAATACAAGGCATGGGATATTAAGTTTAGGGGACAGAAAGGGAAATTAATGGGATATAGTGAGGCATCAGAGGCAATGACGTCCCAGACTGATAACCAAATTGGCAGTTTGTGTAGTGATTTCCATTGCTCCATATAGTTTGTCACCCTTTTTCAAAAATTCATAACTTCATTATTAGTTATCCGATTTTACCCAAATGTACATTGCTGTGCTTTTAGTGTTTTTCTGCATCTATCAAAAGCAAATTATTTCTGGAGTGGACTTAGGCTTAACTCTCATTGTCTAGATTCATTGGGAGCTTAACATCTAAAGCGCAATTTGATTTATTTCACATTTTGTCAACAACTTAAATGGTAATTCCTATAGCACTTTTATTTATTTATTTATTTATTTCTGATATTTATACAGGGTGGAACCAATTTGGTGGTCTTCCATGAGGCCCAGTGTGGTAATAATAAAAACAAATAACAGCATCAAAAACAAAATAGATAAATACAAGCATATAAACAGGTAAAATACAAATTCAAAATGCTCAAGGTGATAAAATTTTACAATACTTGTTTAGGAGTACACTTTTTTGAAATACCAATTTAGGGTGTGAAGTCAGGGGGAAAAACACGCAAAATCCTCATTGAGGGTATATTTTGGCTTCAGAAAAAATCCTCGTTTAGGGGGTGTCTCGGAAACCTGTGGTCACGCATGCTTACAGTATTTCTACATGGCTGAGACCCCCGTGACACACTATGGCAATTTGGAGGAATTATCATCGAACCTTTCATTAAGCATTTCAGTGTAACAAAAAGTGGGGAAGCTTGGTCACGACCCCCCCCCCCCCCCCCCCCTCTATACAGTATGCCAATATTTCTGGAGATTGATGTAACGATGTGTTTTACATGTTCGCTCCAGTCAAGTTTTTCATTGATATAGACACCAAGGAACTTTTTACATGTCTTTCTCTCTATAGAAATAACATCTATTTTATTATTTAGAGCAAGGTTATCATTAGATTTTCTACCTCTATAATATATTAATAGAATAATATCTATCGTTAATTCTATGAATTTTTATTTTGAAGTCATTCACAGTTCCATATCATCTTTTGGTTATGGTTTGTGCAATGCTGGAGCAAGAACACTGACTGAAATTCTAGAAAATGACACATATTACGAAAATGATCAGTAAAACAATAAAGGCGGTGTCACACAGAAAAATCGCTTAAAAATCGCTTAAAAATCCCTTGAAAAATCCTTTCAAGGCAGAATTTTCTTGCTTCGTTAGAGAATTTTTAATGAGATAATTGATGACAGGCAGCAATTAAGAGGATAACTAAAATCTGGATAACTAAAATCCGGATTTTTGGCCTCTGTGTGACACCGCCTAATAAGGATACTACATAACTACTGTACCGCAGTCTATTGCACTGTACAACGCAAGCTGAGCAATAAAGATGACGGATCGTGACGTCATATAATCATGTTTATTCATGTTCATCCAGCCTAGCACCTTCATACACTACCGATAGAAACGTGCAAGTTGCTCGTAATGCATGCCGGGCAGGCGTAGGAAAGATGACGTAATGGTATCGAAATACAACAAATGATATTCATATCAAATAGCGTAGTCTATTATGTAGAAGCTCTTTGTCCTTGTCTGGGAGGACAAGCACTTTAGACTGGGGCTGTAGTCTCATTTAAAGAAAGGAAAACAATTTTGGGACAGTTCAAAATAATGCTTGGAAATGGAAATTCAAATGATACCGTTTTAAAAACCAGAAAGATATGGTTTGAGGACAAGAAGCAGGATGTAATTCATTGCTCGGCAATCTTGACTGTATTTAAAACAGAGCATCCAATATACCTGATATTTAATAGTACTGTACAATGTCAATTAAATAAAATAACTAAATAAACAAACAAATAATGGACCTCTTTAGCCAAGACTGTGGATTTTTATTGTTGAGCACTAAATGATTCTGCTCGGTCATACAGGCTAGGTGGGGGAATGCTTGCAATAGACTTAAATTTGAAAGGCCCTTTGTATCACTTCGTGCAAAATGACATAGGGCGCTTCTAATAAACTTATACGAGAAGTAAGACCCTGTTCATCATTGTTTTGGTATGTTTACAGACTAAAAAAGGGATAGTACGGGACTGTAGAGAGTGAATAAAACTAGGAAATTATAATTGAAAATGTAAAACAACGTTGTAAACCTAGCAATAAGAGGCTCTTGAATCCAGTTTTTAAATGGACATAGCTTTGGGGCTATCCGCTATCGCCGCCAGGCTACGCTGTCGATTGCCAGCTAGCTGTCGATTGCCAGCTAGCTGTCGATTGCCAGCTAGCTGTCGATTGCCAGCTAGCTGTCGATTGCCAGCTAGCTGTCGATTGCCAGCTAGCTGTCGATTGCCAGCTAGCTGTCGATTGCCAGCTAGCTGTCGATTGCCAGCTAGCTGTCGATTGCCAGCTAGCTGTCGATTGCCAGCTAGTAGCTGCCAAGATGGGACCCCCCTGGCGATTAATGTGGGTGGGGGGGGGGGGGGATTTTTCAAATTTTCGAGGGCCAAACAAAAAAATAGTGCTCTCTACCCCCCCCCCCCCCCCCTCCCCCTTCCCCCACTACCACTGAGTGAAATATCGGCCGGCACGATTTTTTTTTTATTTCAGCACATTAAATTTCAAATTGATTTCAAGTTTGGGCCCCCCTAAGAAATCCTGAATCCGCGCCGATACACACCCCCCCCCCCCCCCCAAATAAAAATTCCAAGGCTCCCCTGTAGTTTTTTCTACATTGCTCCCCCCCCCCCCCCCGCAAAAGGTCCCTATTTTCTCATTGTTTTACATCATCAACAACAACAACAACAATAATATTTATTATAAAACTCCAAAATTGGTTTGTTTTTATAAATAATAATATCTGCCCGGCAAAATATTTGAAGTGAGTATGTAGATAAAGATCATCAGACTTTATTACACTGATGAGGTGTATTGGGTTCTCTTCACTTGTCTCTTTCTGGCTCTCTTTCTCTTTCTCTCTCTCTCTCTCTCTCTCTCATTGGGACTGAAAAAGTATTGAATGTAATAATGTTTGATAAATAGATAAAACAGGATTCCTGTCCTTCTTGTACTTCGTAAATATAATACTTTACCTTGCTTACAAGTTAATTGCAAGCTCATTGTATAGATCAATTAAGAGAATAGCAATAAATATGGACTTTGAGTGAGATCAAAATGGGTTTAACATCAGTTTTTCTTTTTCAAAGATTAAAAAAAAAAGCAACAGCTGGGTGTCGAACCCGATACCTTCCAGTTACCAGGCGATTGCCTACCCACTAGACTAAAGTGTCACATTGCTAATCTCCATGTATTCTTCATACTTACACTATGTAGCAAAAGATGTTTTCTGACTAATTCAGAGAGTCGCTTGTTAAAGAAAGAGTATTACATGCTATTTTTTTCTTTGTTGAGGGGGGGGGGGTGTCCCCTTTAAAAAAGAGATGACAAGTCAATATTATGGAGTGAAGAAGAAAAAATAACATGGGTTTATATAAAGGAGAAACTGAGACTCGAACCGAGTACATTACATTGTGAAGTGATCACTTTTATCCACAAGACCATTTTGCCTCACCGTGATAACTGGTTCGCTTTTTGTTGTTAACACTTTCTGCATGCTAATGACTTTACAAAATGTGCCGATTTACTGATTTGACGCTTTCGGGATGCATTATTATCATTATTTTTGTAGTCCGATGTTGTGAAGATTGCCCGTATTTTTTTCTTTCAGTTACTGATATTACTGATATAATAGTG